GATAGCTCTATCCCAGCCACCTGGTTGGCCTGTTCCCTCACCTCGTGCAAATCTTTCCTCAAATGTCACCTCAGCGAAGGGCTCCTTCTCACCACCACACCTGCTACTAAGCCACCTAGTCCTCTTCCCAGCTTTGTTTTGATAGCAACTGTCACCTTCCAACAGATAACTCCATTTAACTGAGCTATGTTATTTATATCCAGCTCTCCCACTGCACTGTAAGCTCTGCAGAGCAGAGATCTGGGTCTATTTTGTTCACTAATATTATCTCCAGCACCTGGGGCTGTTCCTAACACATACTATGGATTGAATACATATTTGCTGGATCAGCAAATCATCAAATTCTCAAAACTGGTCCAAGAAGCCTATCCTTTTCTCATAAAAAAGAACTGTGCTAAGCCAAAGAAATCTCCCCATTTGCCATAGCTACTTAAACCAAATTCAACCCCTTTGTGCTACAGATACAGACACTGATGGCCGCAGAGGTAACTTGGTGAAGACCACTACTGGCAAAAGAAAGTTAAAATCTGGACCACCCGACTCCTAGTCAGAGGTCTATCTACCACACGACACATCCTGGCTTATCCAGAAACAAAGTTTCTAGGAAAGCATCAGCCAAACATGTAACCTAAGGACCAGGGTGTGCATAAACCGAAGGTCTACTAGCAAGACCACCTCTTCTGCAGTGTATAGCCCTGGCCAAACCACCCACTCTCCAGGCTAATCGAGAAGATAGGTTGGAATAAACACCATGTATCGGTACTGACAGTGCAAGAATGAGAAAGACACATTTCCCAAACCTGTGCATCTCACAAGTGAAAGCAAAAGCACATACCAGGGACAACAGGAAGCCAGAGGTACCAACAACACTGAGTTTGATGCAAAAAAAGGGGGACTTTAGTTCAGGCTACATAAAAACAGGAGGTATGCTGGAGAGTGTATATTGAGAAGTGGGGGTGGGGGGGGGCGGAAAAAAGCTAAGCCAGGAGAAAGGGACGGGAAAAAACATTCTGGTCAGATACAAAAGCATGAAAGTGACAGGGTCATCAAACAGGATGGTGTGCCAAGGAACCTAGCAGTCCATCAGCACAGCTGAGAGCAAAGCTCAAAGCAAGAGAGCAGCCAGGTTTTAAAGGGCTTAGATGTCGTGCAAAAACACTTATACTTCTCAGCATGACATTGAAGGGGAAAAAACCCAGGGATTTAAACCAAGACTGCCTCAGGGAGTGCAGGATCAAGCATGTCTCCTGCAAAACACCAGCAGACGTAACATGTAAAACGCCAAAAACAGTGTCTAGCAAATGCTAAGTGTTTAATGAATACTAGCCATTATTGCCATAAGGAATTATTGAGTTGTGCTACTGGCCGGGAGCAGTGGCTCACGTCTGTAATCCCAGCACTTGGGGAGGCCGACACAGGCGGACCACTTGAGATCAAGAGTTCGAGACCAGACTGGCCAACATGGTGAAACTGCATCTCTACTAAAAATACAAAAAAATTAGCTGGGCGTGGTGGCGGACACCTGTAACCCAAGTTACTTGGGCAGCAGAGGCAGGAGAATCACTTGAACCCAGGAGGCAGTGGTTGCAGTGAGCCTAGATCGCACCACTGCACTCCAGTCTGGGCAATAGAGCAAGACTCGTCTCAAAAATAAAAAAGAGTTGAACTATCTGCAAGATCCCTTACTAGTCTTGTATTGTACAGCAGGTGTAGTCTTCTTCCTGAGTTTCCTTGAGTTGACGGCTACACTCAAAAAAGAAGAAAACAAGGCTGTGCACGGTGGCCCACGCCTGTAATCCCAGCACTCTGGGAGGCCGAAGTGGGTGGATCACCAGATCAGAAATTCAAGACCATCCTGGCCAACATGGTGAAACCCCGACTCTACTAAAAATATAAAAATTAGCTGGGCGTGGTGGCGAGTGCCTATAATCCCAGCTACTCGGAAGGCTGAGGCAGGAGAATTGCTTGAACCGGGACCCAGGAGGTGGAGGTAGCAGTGAGCTGAGATTGTGCCACTGCACTCCAGCCTGGGCTACAGAGCGAGACCCTTGTCTCAAAAAAAAAAAAAAGAGGAAAACAAGGCTGGGCGCAGTGGCTCACGCCTGTAAACCCAGCACTTTGGGAGGCCAAGGTGGGTGGATCACCCGAGGTCAGGAGTTTGAGACCAGCCTGGCCAACATGGTGAAACCCCGTCTCTACTAAAAATAGAAAAAAAAATTAGCCAGGCATGGTGGTGGGTGCCTGTAATCCCAGCTACTTGGGAGGCTGAGGCAGGAAAATTGGTTGAACCTGGGAGGCAGAGGTTGCAGTGAGCAGAGATTGCGCCACCGAACTCCAGCCTGGGCAACAGAGTGAGTCTCCGTCTCAAAAAAAAAACAAAAAAAACAAAGAAAACCATCATGGGAAACAATTGAAAGAGCTGCCAAAGCCACAGGAACCTGGCTAGGATCTCCACTAGCACTGTGCTTGCGTAGGTGTGGACTAAATAAATATGCAGCTGGTGACCAATCACCACTACTGACAGGAAAACGGGCATCACTTTGTGACTCCTCCTTCAGGGCGGAGTTCCAGCCTGCCACCTGAAAGAGCGGCACTGCCAGAGGCTTGAGCCACAAGATGGATGGGAAACACAGGGGCTTCACAGGCCTTCCTGGTGCACCCAACCTCTCCTCCTTCTGCCCTCTTCAGTGACAGCCTCAAACAGCTCTCCAAGACTCCAACTTCACAAAGGTATTACGGAAGCTGCTCTCAAAAGTGCCTAAGACACAGAACAGCATCAAAGTCAGAGGAAAAGGAAAGCTGGTCTTTGGTATTTCAGGTTCACACAGAAGAAAATTGGAGACTGTATTAGTTTCCTGTGGCTGCCATAACAAATTACCACAAACTGAATGGCTTGAAACAACAGACATTTATTCTCTCTCAGTTTTAAAGGCCAAAAGTCCAAAATCAAGTCATGAGCAGGTCCATGATCTCTGTGAAGTCTCTAGGTGAGCATCCTTCCTTGCCTCTCCTAGCTGCTGGTGGCTGCCAGCAACCCCCTGCTTTCCTCGTCTTGTAAATGTACTATTCCAATCTGTTTCTGTCTCCACAGGGCCATTTCCCTGAGTGTGTCTCTCTGTATCCAAATTTCCCTCCCGTTAGAAAAATACTAGTTGTTGAACTAAGGCCCACCCTCATCCAGTATGACCTCATTTTACCTTGATTACTTGTGCAAAAACCCTATTTCCAAATGTCATATCCACGGGTTCCAGATGGACATAAATTTGGTGGCAGGGGGTGGGGGAGGGGGCAAACACTATTCAACTCAGTATAAGGACAAATTACCAAGGGCCACAGCCTTCAATCCAAAGGTTGAGTCACTGCTGTAACTCTACACAGCAGCTCTGTTATTCTTACATCTCAGCTGATTAAGAATCAGAGCTTAGACTGATGAGGAATCAAAACCTTAAGACCTAAAAGTAACACATAAAAGTTACACTGTCCTGTGGCTCCTCTTCCCTGGATTCTATGTTCCATAGCATTTGTTCCTGTCGCTACCAGGACCTCCTATTCACCACCATTCCAGACTCTTCACTCATTTTGGACCCTGACACTGGTTTTGTTGGAAGCTCTTACTGTTCTCGAATCACGCACAGTCAAATAGGGTCTCTGGCCACCTTTGATGACTCCCTCCATTCTCGAAGTCACCCATGAGCAGTCAGTAACTCACTCTGCTAACTCCCAGATCACTCTTAAAAGTAAACTTTCCTTTTTTTTTTTTGAGACAGAGTTTCACTCTTGTTACCCAGGATGGGGTGCAATGGAACAATCTCGGCTCACTGCAACCTCCACCTCCCAGGTTCAAGCGATTCTCCTGCCTCGGCCTCCCGAATAGCTGGGATTACAGGCATGTGCCACTGTGCCCAGCTAATTTTGTATTTTTAGTAGAGACTGAGTTTCTCCATGTTGGTCAGGCTGGTCTCAAACTCCTGACCTCAGGTGATCTGCCCACCTCGGCCTCCCAAAGTGCTGGGATTACAGGCGTGAGCCGCCGCACCCTGCCAAAAGTAAACTTTTCTAACTGGATGCAGTAAATTGCAAAGGTTATCATTCAAACACTCAAATGATAGTGTTTATTATGAAATAGGAGTACAAACCATTTTCCTGTGTTTATGAATGATTCTACTCGGACTTGTTTTAATATCACAATTCATAATTTTCAGCATTCCAGACTTCAACTTTGGAACGGAACACACTATGTTCTGAAATCTTGAAGTTTGCTTATCTCTGATCTGTTTTCACCAGTGGCTGATTTTATCCTAGGTACCCTCCAGGTAATATCTCATTCCCTAGGGCCCTGGCAGAGCTCAGCGCCATAGCAATCAGACAAGGACTCTGGAGCTGTAATAGCATCTAGGGTGTACCCACGTTATTCTAGGCTCAAAAAAAAAAAACCAAAAAAACAAAAAAAACCTTTCTGCTAACACAATATAGGAGTTGGTTTTGAGATCAGCAAGCAGAAACAGGGAAACTCACAGGGAAACTCTAATCCTCTTGCACGCTCAAGGCAAGAGCAGCAGCCCACAACAGACCAGAGGCAAATCAAGTGGGTCAAAAGCACCACACCCCCTGCAGAAACTGATCTGCCCAGCAGACGGGGCCTCAGCCCGGCCAGCTTCCGGACTCCACCAAACTTCACAGCATGACCCGAATCAGTTCCTTCCAGCCTCCCCAGGGAGCCCAGGAGTTTTTCGGAAAGGAGTCTGCCAGTGTTGGGAAAAACGCCAACAGCTCCTCCTCGTCCTTGCAAGCCTCGATCCTACGTGCAGCCACTGTCACCCCCAAACCCCACGCTCCGACCTCCGAGTCCCACAACGCCCATCACACCACCCAGTAATCTCCTCAGAGTCCAAGTTGCCCGCTCCAGACCCCCGACTCCGCCCGCAGTGCAGGAGGCCAACGCGGCTACCTGACCTTTGACCCCTGACCCCGACCCGGCCCTCCCGGGCACACCCACCTGCCCGGGAGCTTGCTGTTGCTGCGCTTCCAGAACTGCTTCCTGGCCCCGTCGCTGGCCATGGCCCCTCCTCATCCCTCAGACCCGCGGCCCAGACACCCCGAGTGCAGCCGGCCCTCCCCCAAAGGCCCTTTCCTGTGCCCCGGGTGGCCCCTCACTGGTCCCGGGACTCCGGAACGTAGACCCGAGAGGCTCTTCCGCCTCCTTCCGGAAGTTGTGCCTACGCGCGCCCGGAAGTCCCGCCTAAGTCCCAGGTGGCGAGTGACGCAGCGTTCCGAGAACCCGACCTCATTAAAGGGCGACGTCGCGCGACCCACGTTACACGCGTCGCGGAGGGAGCAGAAGTGGTTGAGTTTCGTGTTTGCTTAAGTCTGTCGCTCCCGGCTAGCCCGACCCGACCGCGGCGCCTTCCTGCAGGTAGCGGACTCCCAGGAGCCAGTGGAGCCTACTTTGCGAAGCTGAGCTGGGCCCGTGTCTGATTCCGGTTTCTCTTGAGCGCGTCTCGGAGCCGGCCCAGAACAGAGGGAAGCCAGACACGCCATACCCAGCCCAACAGTGGCAGGGCGGCTGCGGGTGCTGGTCAAGCTAGGTCTGCGGGCACTGAGTGAGGATGAGCAAATACTCAGTGGACGAAATATTTGCACTGCAGTGAGGTGAGGGGCATAACCGCGGAGCGTATTCGGGGGGATGAGAGAGAGTGGGGATTAGGCCAGGCTTGAAGGGAAGAGTGGTTGAGCACCGAAGACAAGAATTAATTCCCCTGGCCTGAGTTCCAGCCTTGTGCGGCTATCACGTGCTTGAAACCTGGCTAGTCCGGAGTGAGATGCACTTTACGTGTGAAATACAAGATTCCAAAGACGTCGTATAAAATAATTTGCATATTGTTTGCATGTTAGATAACATTTTAAATAATACATTAAATTAAATAAAATGAATTATTTTTACATTCCTTTTTACTCTCTTTAAAATTATTTTTACCTTTTTTATTCTTTTTCTCCGGGGGGAGTGGGGGTGGGGCGTCTTGCTATGTTGCCCAGGCTAGTCTCTAATTCCTGCCCTTTAGTGATCCTCCTGCCTCACCCTCCCCAGTAGTTGGAACTACAGGTGCATACGTTATGCGTAGATCTTTTTACTTGTGTGTGTGTATGTGTGTGTGTGCGTGTGCAGAAAGCCACTAAAAAAATCCGTATCTGGTTTGCATTACATTTCTGTGCGTCTTAGGCCAAAGATTGAAGGCTCAGGGACTGTCCTTTCAGACTGGAGCTTTAGTGTATTTGGAGCTCCTGCCAGTTCTCTTTTAAAACAAAAATTTGATAAGGCATATTTACTGATTAAGAATTTCCCAAGAGGCTGAGGCAGGACAATAGCGTGAACCCGGGAGGCGGAGCTTGCAGTGAACCGAGATCGCGCCACGGCACTCCAGCGTGGGCGACAGAGCGAGACTCCGTCTCAAAAAAATAATAATTTCCCATGCCTCTTCATTTACTGGTAAGTAACATTGACTTAGTACTTACTACGTACAAGGCATCCTACTCTCCTGAGATCCTCCCCTAGTAAAGCTCAGAAGACCCCAGGGGTCTCCTGACATATAGCCCTGACAGCCTCAGACAATGCTGTCGCCTACACACAACATTGAGGACCATGGCGGTTCTTTCCAGTTCAGTCTGGCTTATTGCAAGAATCAGTGAGCGAGGTGACAGCAGGATTAACCTGATGGAAGGGGAAAGGAAGGAAAAACTGTGAAACAATTGACAGAGGAAAAACTGGCAGCACTTAGTGACTGGTTACACCTTAGATCCGGGTGCTCTTTATCGCTTACCGTATACTTTGCTACTACTGTTTTCAGGCGAAGGAGTGAGGCTGAGATTGACTTGAAGGCTTCAAAACCAGCTAAGCAAAGGATTAGTAGGATCATGACAGAAACGTGAAGACGGAAAAAGAGAGTCTGAGTAGAAAGCCAGTTTTGAAAGCCAAAGTAATACAGATGTTGGAGTCTAGATATGGGACCTAGGAATTGGGACAGACCCTCCAATCCCAGAGGTAATGAGTGGAACCTTTTTTATTCATTTTTGCAACAAGTATTGAGCAGCAATGCAAATTAAAACTAAGGATGTACCACGTTACACTTAACAGATTGGCAAAAACTTAAAAATCTGTCTTTACCAAACTTGATAAGAATGTGGATTTGTGAGCAGAGCAGAACTCGTGCACTGCCGGGAGGAGGGCACATTCATTCACTAATTTTGGATGGCCACTTAGCAATTTCTAGCAAAAATACTCTATAACTTAGCAATTCCACTCTTGGTATGTGCTCTAGAGTACCTTGCCTCCATGTGCAGAGACAAGAATGTTCAGTGCAGCGTTGCTCCTAGTGGTAGTTGGGGTCTGGGGAAGAAGCAACCAAAATGCCATCTGTGGCAGAATCGATAACTTACACAGTTACGTAGTAGAATACCATAAATTAGTAACAATGATTACATACATCAACATAAATGAATTTCACAAACTGTGGGGCTGTTTTGGAAATGAGGCTTACTACGTTGCCTAGGCTGGCTGCAAAATCCTGGGCTCGAGTGATCCACCTCAGCTTCCTGAGTAGCTGAGAACAGATGCGAACACTACTGCACCTGGCTCCACAGTGCTGAATGAGAAAAAGTTGAATATGAATTCACATGGTATGAAACCATTTAGTACTATTTTGTTTTAAAGGATGAGAATATGGCCAGGTGTGGTGGCTCATGCCTGTAATCGCAGCACTTTAGGAGGCTGAGGCAGGAGGATCTCTTGAGCCCAGGAGTTTGAGGCTGTAGCAAGCTATGATCATGTCACTGCACTCCAGCCTTGATGATAGTGCAAAACCCTATCTCAAAAAAAACAGAATGGAAAAGATAAATTCAGGAGAGTGGTTGCCTATAGGTATGGGCGGGGACTGTGATCAGGAAGGAATTCATTCATAGGAGATCAATTGTGCTATTATGCTTTGTTTCCTAAGGCAGATGGGCTATATTCAGGTGTGTGTTGTATTCTTTATGAGTCTTTACATGTATAAAGCGTTTCATAATACATTCAAGTATCATTACTGAGCTTGAACTGTGCTATGCACTGAGCTACATTGAACTGTTGTGGGGAAAGGCAAACAAGTGCAGCAGGCCAGGCACAGTGGCTCACACCTATAATCACAGTACTTTGGGAGGCTGAGGTGAGAGGATCGCTTGAGACCGGGAGATCAACACTAGCCTGGGCAACACAGGGAGACCCCGTCTCTACAAAACTTTTTTTTTTTTTTAATTAGCCAGACATGGTGGTGAACACTCTTAGTCCTAGCTACTTGGAAGACTGAGGCAGGAGGATCACTTGAGCCCAGAAGTTCAAGGCAGCAGTGAGCTAGGATCACGCAGCTGCACTCCAGCCTAGACAACAGAGACCCTGCATCAAAAAAAAAAAATTTTATATATATATATGGCAATAGTATTTCAGGATGGCAGGATTTGCAATGCCAGTTGGGTTCCTTGGAAAGTGTTTTCCGCCTTCTCCTTTTTCAGATGGCCTGCTCCAGGCCTAGAATATCTCTCACAGGACCTTACTGAGTGAGCTGCCACACTCGCACATGGTGGGTTCTCCCTGCTAAGTTTCCTGGTGCTGCACTCTCCATAGGCACCAAGCCTGTGCCCCAAAGTAAAAAGCTGACCGTCCTATCCGTATTGGTTTCCTAAGGCTGCTGTTGGTGGAATGCTGCAGACTTAGTGGCTAAAAACAAGACACATTTACCCTCCTGCAGTCCTGGTGGTCAGAAGTCCAAAGTCGGCTTCGCTGCTCTAAAGTCAAAGTGTCAGCAAGGCACTCCCTTCTGGAGGTTCTAGGGGAGAGTCAGTTTCTTTTTCAGCTTCTAAAGGCCACTTACATTCCTTGGCCTACGCCCTTCCTCTGTCTGGAAAGCCGATCACTGTAATCTCTACTGCCATCATCACATCATTTTCTCTCCTTCCAGTTCCTCCTGGATCCCTCTGACCTCGCATCAGGCCCACTGGATAATCCAATCCAGGCTGATCTCCCCATCACCCAGCCCTTAGCTCAATCACACCTGCAAACTCCCTTTGGCCATTTAAGGTAGCATTTGCAGGTCCCAGGATTAAGACCTGGTATATCTTCAGGGGTTCATTATTAGTCTACCACAATAATTGATGGCAAATAGCAAAGGTCCCCAGTTTTGCACCGCGAGAGGCAGGCATCCTCTTCACTGCCCTCTTCCCCAACTCCTTTCAGCCATTTTGATATTATAGGGTCTGTCACTAGCAACATGCCATTTCCTGACACTACGTCAGGATGAGTTAGGGTGCTGTTGGTTGCAAGAATGACAAAGTTCAACTCAAATTAGCTGATACTATAAAAGGAATTGGTTGGTTAATGAAAAAACCCAGAAGTAGCTCAGAGATTGGAGAAGGGCTGATACAGCAACTCAACCATGACTCAAGGGCCTGTCTCCTTCTGTCAGTCTCTTAAGTCTGTGCCAAGGACAACTTCTCCTTGAGGTCACAGGATGCCTCTGTTGGGCCCCTGAGATCATGTGCTTACCTCTAGTCAGGATGCTAAAGTGCAGAAATACTGTGAACTAATGTCAGTCCCTGGGAGGGGAGCACTACACATTGCTTACCAATTCCAGGAGAGCACTCTTAAACACCTCACCAATTTCTGCTGAGTTTCCTAAGGCTGCCAGGAGGCTTTGCACAAACCCAGCAGCCAGAGTTCTGCAAGTTTTCTTGACTCTGGCAGGGGCTCAAAGCTGATCTAGCTGCTGCAGCAGTCGTACCTCCACCCCCTGCATTCTTCATGTCTAGTCTGGTAAAACAGAATACCTGCACAACACGTCAGACAAAGCAACGTTATTATTCACAGAGAGGCCCCAAACATCAACCCAAGCCTGGGGTCCATGGCAAGCCAGTCCACCAGCATTCAGGAAAGCTCCCCAGGGCACTGGAGTGCTGTCTGCAGGTGCCCCCACTTCACACCACAGCTGAGGAGGGACTTTAAAAGCACTCCACTCTGGGTTCTATAACCCAGATGCAACTGGGTCCACCATCCTGATCTAGGGGAGATGAGCACAAAGCCTGAGCTGTTTGGGACAGTTCCACCTTATCTCAGAATGTTGCATCCTCTGTATATTCTGCCCAAAAATTGTAACCAAGAGTGAGAAGAGCTGGGTCATCCAGTATCATTTGGGG